GAGCCGCAGGCCGGTCAGTAAGTTTGACCCGAGACCACTGGGACCCATGGCCAGAAGGGAAGACGTCCAAAAAAATTAAGTCCTCAGCAGAGCTGCGTGCATCTCTGGGACATCAGTTTCCAAAGGTTCTGACAAACTCTGTTTTTCAATGTTGATCTTGTGTGACTCCTTCTCTCTGGAGTTGGCTTTGATATTTATTCCGATTTTTCTGACAGTCAGAAAGGGACAAGTTTGGAACCTTAGTTCAGCATTTGCTTTCTGCATCGGTACATTCATTACTATGTACAGCCTCCAACATATTTAATGCTTAATGCATACAGTATGTACATCTGAGGGGATGTAATGCTGTATTTACTGAGTTACTTGCCCATCATCTTACCAAATTACTTCTAATTACTTACCTATTTTATCAGACAAGGTCCCATCTCATCTCTAGCATAAGCTTTTGCAATTAAGTGGAGCATCTCTTTTTTCAGAGTGTCCTAAAGGCTACCGAAAAATATTTCTCGCACTGGAGACCTGTGAGACTTTGCAGTCAGGTAGTATTTCACTCAATATAATTATGATACAATATAGCTGATGCGGGAACTTGGGTATGAAGCAGTCCAATTGTCCAAGTCCACATTTTCTTTTTTCCAGTGATATAATAGATTTTCCAGTTGTTGTTGAGAGATTTCAAAATGATATATCGAATATTCAGAGACAGGTTGAGTAATTCTTGATATTGCAGGCATCGGGGCAGCCTTGGAGAGACGCGTGGTCTTTCAGCACAGATGGAATTCTCTGTTAAATTTTGCAGAAGAGTTTAGAAGGCTTCTGGTGTGAAAGGATACCCTTCTGAGGATTGCTTCACATAAAGCACTGTACGCCAATGTTTGTGTGCCGTGAGCCTTTGAAGTGATCTTTTTAGGCACAGAATTTACCTGATCTCTTCTATTTGGAGAAATATTGCATAAGTCTTTTGAGACATTTCTCCTACAGTTGACACTTACCAGTTGCAAATTGCTCTGCATTCCTCATCCTTCACGTTCTTCTAGGTTTAAAACCAAAAACCAAACAACAAAGCCCTCAAGCCAGTCTCTAACTCTGAGCCGGAGAGGGATCCAGGTGCCCTGGAATTCAGTAGGGATTTGCTGCTGATTTGAGGTGGAGCGTTCTCAGGTGTGATAGCGAGCAGGGTGCCATGAAATTAACTGTAATTATCTTCTGGGTTTCTGTCACTGCCTGAAGGGATGCAAAGTAACAACAGATTAGTGCCCTGAAATAAAGCCAGCCAGTGAAAGCGTTCAGAGAACGCTGTGTGCGCATCACAGAAGCCACAGTTTCTAAACTGACTGTAAATTTAAGGGATGGGAGGAGTCAACAGGTTTTGTGATGTAGGAAAGAAAACAGTATGTTTCCACTGCAGTGTTATCAGAGTGACAATTCAGTAAAGAACTTGCAAAAATCCTATTAAAACCAGATTGAGTATGTTAACTTTGAACTATATTTTTCTTATTAAGTAATCCAATTGTTTTTTTTCTCATGAAAGTAGCTTTAATATTTCCCTGGTAGTGATTTGCAAAGAGGTATGTCCATCAATTAAATAAAAAATAAATAAATAAATGCATCAGCCCTGTTCTTCCCATAAACAGAGACCACACGGCAGACAAGTGGGAGAAGCAGCGATGCTGGGCTGCCACTGAATTGCCAGCCATGTGGTTTTGTGTCTGACAACACGCCGCTTTGTGGAAGCCCCATCCCTTGTTTCAGCTGTTGGAGTTCTCATTAAGTCATACTGGAGGCAGCAGTGCAAACATTAAAAAAGAAAGAAATGAGAAACCCTGACGTGTGCCAGGATTTCTGCTTTGGCTCTCGGTGGTTCCCAGCTGCCATTCGACTGGGACAGGGGGATGCTGAGGAGTCTCAGCGGTGCCAGGCAGCAGTTGCTGAGGTGCCTGGGGCACAGTGTTTGTTCCAGGAACACCACGTTTTGTTGATTCCACAATTCAATGCTATGGGATTTTAATTTGCTGTCTGCTCATTTTTCATTACCTTCATTTTTGGCGTTCAGACCCAATTTTGATGAAAAGATTGCCCTGGGGCATGAACAGTTTCCTGGAGCTGAAAGTTGGCTTAGCAAAGCACTTTCCTAGGATCTCCTCCTTAACACCAGTCCCTTTCCCTAGGGAAGGGGTGGGCTTGCTGTGAGGGCCATGGCTCAAAATGTGCACGCAGGTTTCATGGTTACAGGAATCCCCAGCAAGAGCTTTGGCGAGGGGCTTGACTGCGTTGATGTGCTGCTGTTACCATTAGCTCTTCTGTTTCTACGTTGGGGAACGAAATTCATGAGCCTGGTTGGGATCCCAGCCCCTGCAATCAACAGGCAGAATTAAGGTGTCTCGCAGCGTAGCAGCGAGGTGTGGTTTTCCTATGAGGCTGCAGCCTTCCCTGTTAAAATGCTTAACGTCGCATGGATGTCTGCATCCCGTGATGTTCTGTTTTCTCAGTCGATGCTCTAACCCTGGCAATGAGCCCATTTACTGCAGAAATCAATATATCCGCTATTAGGGAATGAAGAGACTTGCCTGCCCCTAAATCCCGCCATTGCCCTTGGCTTAGGTGTACGGGTGCTACCCTGGGTTGTTTTACATGTTTGCATTTTGTCGGGCGTTACCAGTAACGTATAATTTAAAGGATTGTATTTAACCGTTGGTGAGTGTGAGCTGGTCCCAAACAAGGTGGTCTGCTAAAATCACCTCGTGTTGGGGTATTGGCCACAGCATCATATACGGTTTCCCAAAATGCAAGGGAGGAACAATGCAAACGTGCATCTGTGTGGAAGATG